ATTAATAGACTTTTTACCTTATTCCATTCATTTTACATTTAAACTTTTCCATGATAAAATATTTATTTAAGTGATAATCACTTCTGAAGACGTTATCCACACGTAAATGTTATAGTCGTCTCTACAATGTACAAATATATTTTTTAATTTTCTAAAATATTGTGTGATGGGATAGATTTGTCTATTAAAAAATTCACATCATTGGTATTCTTTTACACACATATTTACTTAATTATTCAATCTTTTCTTGTTTCTATACAGAAAACTTGATTAAACAAAAACTGTGTAATTTTTAAAAAATTTTTTGCCCATCGTGTATGGCTGTACAATCTGATAAGTGCATTATAAATTCCACACTTTTCATGAAAATAAAATGGTATTATATAACAAAGCTCTATTACCTTATCCTTGTAATAATAATATAAAAAGAAGATACTGAATAAGGTGCACTATGTAAATATCTCACATGCATGATGAATGCAGCTTTCTCCAGAGATTTTGTTTTCTCTTGAATAAAACATCTTTCTTGCATATTCGGACAAGTGTGAAAGAATGAACAGAACATCATTATTTGTTGTCCTACTTGTTATAGAATCACGCCATACCTTGAATGACATGACACACCAAACTAATATAAACAAATGAATTAATATAAAATGTTGTAGGACATTCTTATCCCAACCGAGTGTCCCTATGGCCCTCAATTTTTTTATTTATTAAGGGAAACACATGCCACCTGAAATTTAATGATCAATCATAATTAACAATTAAATGCTTTTTTGTATTTTATCATGATACATAATCAAGTGGAGTCAATTCAACACATACTTTTTTTTTTCTTTAATTGGTTATGACTTTAAATGGATTTTTATTTCTCATAGATTCTCTAACCACACCTAAACACTTTAAATAAATTTTAGAGATTTCAAAGATAAATCTAGGCTTCAATGTTTGCATTTTAATTTTTTTTATTTCATTAAAATTTAAATATTTTCATTTTCAATTTTGTATTTTAAGTATATTTAACAGTATTTGCGCAATTAGTGACACTCTTAACAAGTTTTATGATGACAGTTTTTTATTTATTTAAATTTTGATAATTATTTATAAACATTTTGTAAGATTTTGATTATGCTCTAAGTCATACGATGCTTTGCCCTGGACCTTTTTGGAGGAGGGTGCATGCAAAATATTGCTAAAGTTCAACATTATTAAAAAAAATAATGCGATGAATCATACTAAACAATAATTGGCATGGTATAATGATCGTTGAGAAGGTTTGGCAACAAATCCACTAATCAGTGACCCCTACCCTACAATAGAATGAGATAATTAGTTTTCTACTCTGTGGTCCTGACAAATATAGCATTATCACAAGTGGAGAAGGGAAGAAAAAAAGAGACTTTTTTTTTTAATTACACTTTTTAATTAATTACTTTTTAATAAGAAAGAGATAAGTATAAAAAAGTTTCCTCTTTTTTTTTTCACTTTTAAATTGGAGTGATCTGCTTGGAACTGAAACTTTTATATTAATTAAATTAAACTATATGTTTAGTTTACTAACTTTATTTAATCATTTTAAGTAGCTAAATGTGTTTTCCTTTGCACTGAATAATTAGTAGTTATAATGTATACGGATAATGATGAGAAGTTGATGACATCCAGCTATGCTATGCACAGAATAGCAGATGGAAAGAGAGAAAGGAAATAATTAGGTCTTTGCTTTCTTCTCCCCTTTCCAAAAGAATTACTAGTTAATTGAATATTTATTGACAACTTTTTCAATACATTGATCAAATTTGATAGAATGTTATAAAAAAAATTATTTTATGTAAAACTGGTACACAAGGAATGAAAATATTAAACTATTTTAACTCATTAGTTCTTACAAAATTTTGAAAATTTGATAACGTAATGTGAAAGTTAATAATTTTATAATTACAAAATCATTTTAATTTGAAATAAAATACAAAGTCAAGCCATTTTTTTAATTAATATTTTATGGATAATTTATTATGACATTAGGAGTTCAAAAAATATAATTTAATAAAATAAAGAATACCAATTGTTGAGTTTTGGAAAAAATTAATCATTTTATTCTCTATTTATATAAAAATATTTTTTTATTTACTTCATTCTGAAATTTCAAATTTCTCTCGTAAATTTTAAGTATATTTTTTATTTTTTTTAATATTAGAATACATCATCCAAGAGATAAAAGAGAATGAAACATCTTATCTAATCTTGATGTGGGCAAGTTCATTTTTACGTCTCCTTTTATTTTAAGTTGCATGTCTAGAACATCATGTATTAAAGTTTTCTATTGGAGTGCTTATACTTTGGAATGCATATGTTTAGAGAACTAGTTTGAATTATGATAGAATATGAATGAATTGGTATAGTAATTTAGATATATAATTCGATAATTTATATTTTTTAGAAAGTGTATTGGCTTTATTGGTAGTTCGAATTCAATGTTTAGTAGTTGATTTGAATATGATTATGATTTAAAGAAATATAATTACATATGGTTTTAATAACTTAGAAAGATCATCCATGCTATATTGAAATTGATGAAAAATAAAAATGAACTTAATTGATGTTATTAAATATATTTAATTTTATTGTTAAAATTGGATGATTAATAAATATTGAATGTTTTAATTTATTAGGTTCATGAATATCATTATCTTCTAGTGAGTAATTAGTTATGAAGTTTAATGTTTGAAAAAAAAGTTTGAGAGATGACGGTAACTTTTATATATATATATATATATATATATATATATATATATATATATATATATATATATATATATATATATATTTAATGATGAGGCGGAACATGTAATGAAACCATTGAATATATGTAATATTTGATGTCATATGATAATAATGTTGAGATTATGAATATTTTGATGTGTTGTGATGATAAGTTAATTTATGAAATTTTGATATGTTTATATGTAAATTAGTTTAGCTTGTGTTTATGTATTATTTATAATTAATACTTAAAAATAGAGGGATAAATATATTTTGAAATACATTATTATGATTAGTTAAATATACTAGCTCTCAATAGTTTTAGATAATGTCTAATAAGTAAAAAAACTTTGTTAAAGGTTGCTTGATTAGTGATTGCATTTGCATTGCCTCACATGCCATTTATATGTTGGATACTAAAACGGTTGAAGGAAATATAGGTTTAAAGCTTGATGTTAACAAAACTTTTGACACATTGAATTGGAAATTTTGGTTGGATGTGCTCAAAGCCATTAGATTCAGAGATAAATTGTGTCAATGGATACATACCATTTTGCAATTTTCCAAATTGTCCATTCAAATTAATGGCAAATTTGTTGGGTAATTTACATGGGGTGTGAGGCAAGGGAATTCACTCCCCTCTCTACTTTTTGTGAAGATTAATGATTGAAATTTGTTAAGACTAAAATCAAATTAATTTATATTTATAGGAAATAAAAAATATATTTGTCTTATATGAAAATAAATTTCCTTTATTAAAGATTATATATATAACATACTTGTAAAAACAAAGGAGGATATGATTCTTAAGAAAAATAAAAAATTAGTTTGATAAATATATGAAACGAGATGTTTCATTTAATGTGTAAAGCACACTATTCCTAGATGATAGTTCACTGTTTTACTTTACAAAATTAACTATGTTTTTTAAGAATAAATTTGTGAAAAGATTATTGAATTGGATAATTGTGATAAACATTTAAAATCTTGAAATAATATTAAGGTCTATGTTGGAAGAGATTTGTGGAAATTATTTTGACAGATACGAGAAAAAAAAAAAGGTTGTTTGAGTTTGAAGAAACTTAATATTCAAGTTCATATAATAATGTCTTTTAAGAGTTAAAGTCAACTATCATCTTATCATACTTTATTAAAATTAAACACTCAAATAGTATATTAAACTTATTGTTGAGTAACTAAATACAGGGGAAACACTCCTCAAAAAGCTAATTAGTAAAACGGAAAATATCAAACACTTAAATATTCTATCAAACATCCAATACTCAAGAAGTTAGTTTTAGATAACAATGGAAAATGGGCATTTTTGTTTCCTTTTTACACTTTGGCCTAGATTTTAAAACATTTAGGAAATTGGTGGTCTGCAAACTCTGCACTTCTGCATCATGAAATGAGAATATAGTATCTTATTCTTCTGAAGTTGATATGACAGGAAGTCTAAGCAGAGAATCTTAAAGAATTGAAAGCAACTAAATCAAAAGTACATGACCCTTTGGTCATTTGCTTGGCAAGGGAAAGAGTAAAGGAAAACAATTACTTTGTTTGATGACAAAGTTTAAACTCAATATCTAGCAGGAACTCAGTTTCACTTTATAGATCAGTATAAAACTGGTCCTATTCAAGGTTTTGATAAGGTATATAACTTATTTAAGAGGGGAAAAAAATGAAATGGTCTTGAAATTAGAGACAAGTAGTTTATAAATGTATCCGGCAATATAGGCAAGTATTTAAAACCATATAAAGATGAATAGAACAAATTCTGTTTTTGGTAAAGGAATGCTCAGAAGAAAAGAAGAAAAGAAGAAAGAAAAGGAAGTAGTCTCACAAAACCAATAATACTCTATCGGACACCATGCAAAGTCCAACTAGTCTCAAAATATAGCATGTCTGTTTGGGCTTCACCATTGCCAAATCCAATTCATGTTTTTCACATTGAAGACAAAGAAATAAAGAAGTGCTTTCAGTTTTTCAAGGTAGCACTGTGATTTTGAGTCCCTTGTCACCAATCCAAACACACGATTAGATACAATATCCATGCAGTATTTGTTTTTAGTAAATATGTAGAGCACAGCACAAAAGAATATTTCAGTTTTAAATGAAAAACTCAGACTTACTTTTTGTACGAAACATTGTCGTAATACTACTGAATACATTGATCTACGAAATATTCTTGAAAGGTGAAAATCATATTTAAAAAACGAATAATATATGATCATCAATCATATAAGCCGCAGAACCCTCTCAACAGCTTCTATTGTCATCTTGATGTCTTCAGTAGTATGTGCCAAACTGGTGAACCCAGCCTCAAACTGTGAAGGTGCAAAATACACACCTTGCTCCAACATTCCCCTGTAGAACTTGGCAAACTTGGCTAAGTCACTCTTTTTAGCATCAGAGAAATTGCAAACAGGTCCTTCTGTGAAGAAAAAACCAAACATCCCATTTATATGGCCACCACACATGGAATGTCCTGTCCTCTTTCCAACTTGAAGAATCCCTTGAACAAGTATTGTTTTATTGACAAGCGTACCAAAATTATCAATCGCAATATAGTATTTCAATTAAATAAAAGTCGATCCCACGAAGAACAGTTTAAATGAAATTCCCAATTATGCTTACTAAGTAGATTAAAACATATTAGTTTTTGTAATAAGAGTTGAATTGAAATTAAATGACAAAGAACTGTAAATTATTGAGAAAATATCAATTAAAGGTACTTAGGATTGAATTCCTTCCTTATCCCTCTTTTGTAATGGCTAAATCAATTAAAAACTTCAATTAACCTAACAATGTTGATGCCACCTACTCAAATCATCCATGTTGATTCCTCACACATGAAATTCATAAGAAAACCTAATAAATGTTGATTCCTCACACAATTAAGAGATTTCCTAGCATTAGGTTTAGGGTGTTAAGCAATTGATACATTCATTCCATTCCTGGTAATTAACGTAACAAATATTCTTACCGTGATCTAGGGTTCAAGATATATTTTCCAATCATACCTCAAACATCAAGAATAAATCATTCCAAAGCATAAAGGATAAGAATAACAACATAAAAACATAGATTAATATATGTCAAAATATCACCATGATACAAAAGAGTTCAAAGGAAGTGCACTAAATCCTAAGAGAATGAAGTTAGCCACTCATGTTGGCCATTACAATGCTCTAATTGATGAAGAAGTGAAGAATTGATGAAGATTAGACGAAACCCTAATAGTAGTCGTGCCTCCTCTTCTCCCAGACTACTTGCTTTTCTCAAAACACAACTTATCTTTTTATAAGAGAATTTGGGCCGGACCTCGCATCTTTCATTCGCTTAAGTGTTCTTTCTTTTGATTTTACTCAAATTATGCTGACAATTGTGCTCCTTACTCTTGTATCAAGGTATTCTCAAATTCATCCTATATTGGAAGAAAAATATATTAGAATTAACATAAGTTAAGTGGTTTCATAACAATTCAAGGCATAATTATATCAACTTTTTACCACTTAACAACTTCTCCCAACCTAGAATCTTGCTTGTCCCAATCAAAGTAATTTTTCTAAAACAAAACCATCGCCTATTATCACATTCTCTTCCAGAACCACAACATAAAAATTTTCAGAGGTGATGCTCACAACTCCAAATGAAAATAGAACACATAAGCATTCAAGTTATAGAAACCAACAAAGAATAATTAGTCATCAACTATCCTCAGAGAAGCATGATCTCTCAAATAGAGTTATATATAATCATCTCTAATTCTCATAGGTAAGTGTTTATCTCATTCAATCACTTCATTTAGACAATCTAATATTGATAATCATCTTCAAGCAATCAACTTGTGTTAAGCAAGACTTAAATCAAAAGGTCTTTTGAGGCTTGTAATGAGGCTGGACTAAGAAAAAATTATTGGTTTTTTTGGGATATACAAAAATATTTGAGAAATTCAACTCATATGAATGATTCTTGATTAACAATTCCTCAAGTCAGGTTTCAAACTTCATGCTTTTGTTCCTAACATAATGACAGTGAGTTAATAATCTCACAAGTTATTATTCCCTCCTTGAAACTTCAAACTTTATACTTTTTCTTTTCTCATGCTTTTGCATATATTCTTTTTGTCTTTGCCAATTTTTTAAGCTTTGCTTTTCCTTTTTCTTTACACCTTTTTTTTTTAAAATAAAGCAATTAAAAACATTCAATTAAAAACAAAGGAATTAAAAATATTAAAAATAAAGTAAGTTTCCTCCCTCATTTTCTTCACTTGTCATCTCCTCCTTATCTTGTGCCTCAGCCTCAGCTGCAGACTTTCTCACCCCCTCCGAAAAGTTGGAGTGTCCCCAGGCCATTGAAGTAAGGCTTCAAAGTCTTGAGGAGAAGTGCACTGTGTACCTGAAACAATCTTGCAAAGAAAGAACCTAAGGAAGAAAAATGCACAAAAAACTTAAACTGCAAAATGAAAAAAATAAATTCAAAACATTGGGTTGCCTCCCATGAGCGCTTGTTTAACGTCTTCAGCTCGACGCCTATTTGCTTTAGGGCTCATGCAGGTGAGTGATCAAGGTGATATATACGCATTCTCCATCCCTTGATTGTCCTTGTGAGAATGAATTTATTCTTGCGAATAACCTTACAACTGTCAAAAATTGGATAAATCATACCTGCTTCAGGAGGTTTCAGTACCTTTCTTTGAACAACTTCCTTCATAGTCAGATTGAGATGTCTTTGGGGTTGTGCAATAGGCTTGTAATCTTGTTTTTCAGTTGAGATGGGTAATTCCTCCAAAGTATCTATTCTGAGACAATCTTTCTTGTCTTCTGGTTGTTGTACAACTTCAAACAGATTAAAATTAACTTCATCATCTCCACTTCTAATTTTCAACTTGCCCATGTCAACATCTATAATTACTTTGACAATCTTCATAAATGGCCTTCCCAGGATCAATGAAACTTCCTCATTTTCCTCCATGTCCATAATTACAAAATCAACAGGAAATATGAATTTATCCACTCTAACTAAAACATCTTCTACTACTCCATAAGGAATCTTTAGAGATCTGTCAGCTAGTTATAGTGTCCTTTTTGTAGGCTTTACTTCGAAGTCTCTTATTCTTTTAAGCATAGACAAAGGCATTAGATTTATACTTGTACCCAAATCGAGTAATGTCTTACCTACTTGTAACGTCCCAATTGTGACTAGTATAGTGAAACTGTCAGGATCCTTGGACTTTTGAGGTAATGATTTATGAATTATAGCGCTGCATCCTGCTTCTAGCTCCACTGTTTCTGCAGTAAATCTACTTTTCTTAGTTAACAATTCTTTCATGAATTTTGCATAAGTCGGCATCTGCTCTATAGCTTCCATAAATGAAATATTAATTTGTAAATGCTTGAAAATATCCATAAACCTAGTGAATTGTCTTTCTTTATCTTTCTTGGAAGGATGACGAGGATATGGTAAATCCTTTAGTTACGGTATTTGACTCTCCTCTTTCTCCCTCTTTTTATTTTTTTCTTCTTTTTCAGTATTTTTTTCTTTTTCTACACTCTCACTTTTATTTTTCTCTTTTTCTCCTTCACACTCATCTTTCTTCTTTTCATCCTCTTTTTCTTGTAGGATTTCCTTCTCTACAGCCAGGTTCTCACCAATCCCTTCTCCTATAACCTTACCACTCCTTGTAGTTATTGAATTGCATTGCTCCCTGGGGTTGGTTTGTGTGTTAGTTGAAAACTGTCCTTCTTGTTGCTGCTCAGATAATTGCTTAGCCAGTTGACCTATCTGGGTCTCTATATTTCTGAATGAAGCTTCAATATTTTTCTGATTAGCCATAATGCTTTGCATAAATTTTTCTACAATATTCTCCAATTTACTTATTCTATCAGGCACTAAAGGATAATGTTGTTGCTGCTGTTGATATGGGGGTTGCTGATATGACTGTTGTTGAAATGCAGGTTGTCTAGTAGATGAGCTAATACCTTGTTTCCACCCAAAATTCTGATTTTGATTCCATCCTTGTGCAATATTATTCTGATAATTGTTGGGAGTAGGAAAATTACCTTGTCTGCCTTGACTACTACCTTGGGCCCCCATATAATTAGCTTATACTTGTTGAATGTTGCCTTGATAAGAACATTGTTCATTTGCATGATCACCTCCACACACATCACAACTCATCTGTTGATTAGGAATAGATTGTACTGTGTGCATTTGTTGAGGTAATTTCTCTATTTTCTGGTTGAATGCTTCAATTTGTTGGGTCAAAATTTTATTCTGGGCTAAGAGAGCATCTGTGGTGTTAAGTTCAAGGACTCCCTTCCTTTGAATTGGATGTCTATCATATTGAGCCTGTTGGTCTGTAAAAGCTAGTGCATCAATAATTCTTGTGGCATGCTCAATTTCTACATCCAACATGGATCCTCCTGCTGCAGCCTCTAATAACATCTTTGCATCATGTCGCAACCCAATATAGAAAATATTCAACTGAGAAACGTCATCAAATCCATGATTTGGGCATCTTCTCAATAGTGATTTAAATTTCTCCCATGCTTCACAAAATTGTTCATCTACTCCTTGTTTGAAAGAAATGATGTCAGATTTTGTTTTGATGTAACGGGATGGTGGGAAAAATTTATTCAGAAACTTCTCTTCTACACTACTCCAATTAGTCAGACTCTGATTAGGATGTGCTTTCAGCCACTCCTTTGCCCTACCTGCCAAAGAAAAAGGAAATAATATCAAATATGCAGATTCAAGATTTGCTGCTCTAAATTCCATGGTACCAATCAACTCATAAAAAGTAGACAAATGAATATAAGGGTCTTCATGATCTAATCTAGTGAATTGATGAGCACTAATCAAGCTTAAGAAGGATGAATTCATTTGTAATGTATGATCATCCGGAATGACAATGCTGGAAAAATGCCTTGGACATTGCTGCATAGCACAATTTCTAAGAGTTCTTCTAGGTGGATTTGAATTTGGGTTTTGATTTGAATTTATATTTGGATCTGGATTCGAATTCAGATTTGCTCCTTTTTCCGCCATATCTTTTATAATTGGGTCTTGTAAATCAAGTGTGGAAGAAGAATTAGCAGACTCTCTTGTGACTTGTTCTTGAGTTTCCCTTCTTCTTCTACCCCGGTTCCTCCGAGCTGTTTTTTCAATCTCTCGGATTAAATTCTAACCGCTCTGAAGATAACTGTCCTCTTAAACGCATAAATCAAAAGAGTAACTCAAGCAAATATTAGCACAAACTAAAAACTAAATAATAATAATAATAATAAAACAAAAACAGAAATAAAAATAAAATACTCAATAAGTTAAACAAAGAATTATCAAAGAACACCGTTCCCCAGCAATAGCGCCATAAATACTTGTTATTTTATTGACAAGCGTACCAAAATTATCAATCGCAGTATAATATTTCAATTAAATAAAAGTCGATCCCACGAGGAACAATTTCAATGAAAATTCCCAATTATGCTTACTAAGTAGATTAAAACAGATTGGTTTTTGTAATAAGAGTTGAATTGAGATTAAATGACAAAGAACTGTAAATTATTAAAAAAATATCAATTAAAGGTACTTAGGATTGAATTCCTTCCTTATCCCTCTTTTGTAATGACTAAATCAATTAAGAACGTCAATTAACCTAACAATGTTGATGCCACTTACTCAAATCATCCATGTTGATTCCTCACACATGAAATTCCTAAGAAAACCTAATAATTGTTGATTCCTCACACAATTAAGAGATTTCCCAGCATTAGGTTTAGGGTGTTAAGCAATTGATACATTCATTCCCTTCCTGGAAATTAACGTAACAAATATTCTTACCGTGATTTAGGGTTCAAGATATATTTTCCAATCATACCTCAAACATCAAGAATAAATCATTCCAAAGCATAAAGGATAAGAATAACAACATCAAAGTATAGATTAATATATGTCAAAATATCACCTTGATATAAAAGAGTTCAAAGGAAGTGCACCGAATCCTAAGAGAATGAAGTTAGCCACTCATGTTGGCCATTACAATGCTCTAATTGATGAAGAAATGAAGAATTGATGAAGATTAGACGAAATCCTAATAGTAGTCATGTCTCCTCTTCTCCTAGACTGCTTGCTTTTCTCAAAACACAACTTATCTTTTTATAAGAGAATTTGGGCCGGGCCTCACATCTTTCATTCGCTTAAACGTTCTTTCTTTTAATTTTACTCCAATTATGCTGACAATTGTGCTCCTTACTCTTGTATCAAGCTATTCTCAAATTCATCCTGTATTGGGAGAAAAATATATTAGAATTAACATAAGTTAAGTGATTTCATAACAATTCAAGACATAATTATATCAACCTTTTACCACTTAACAACAAGTTATCCGGTGACTTTATCCAACTTTCCTGGTTCCTTAATAAGCTTCAGAGTCTCTATTCCTCCAGCCATAGCCAAGGGGTTTCCATTCAAAGTACCAGCCTGGTACATAGGTCTTACTGGTGCCACCATCTCCATAATATCCCTCCTTCCTCCGTATGCACCTACTGGCAGACCACCACCAATTATTTTTCCTAGAGTTGTCAAGTCAGGAACAATGCCAAAAATACTCTTGAGCTCCACCATATGACAAACGGAATCCGGTCATAACTTCATCAAAGATGAGAAGGGCATTCTTCTCCTTGGTGATTTTGCGTATGGCATCAAGAAACTCAAATTTTGGGACAATGAAACCCGAGTTTCCTACAACAGGTTCAAGGATAAGTGCTGCAATCTCTCCCTTGTGATCCTCAGAAAGTTTCTCAATGGCTAAAATGTCATTGAAGGGAGCTGTGAGTGTGTTGGCAGTGACTGCTTTAGGGACACCAGGGGAGTCAGGAAGTCCTAATGTGGCAACTCCACTCCCTGCCTTAACAAGAAATGGATCAGCATGGCCATGGTAGCACCCGTCAAACTTGATGATCTTCTGCTTCGCTGTAAAAGCACATGCCAGACGGAGTGCCGCCATGCATGCTTCTGTGCCTGAATTAACAAGTCGGCCCATTTCTATGCTGGGAACTGCAGAGATGACCATTTCAGATAAGTTATTTTCAAGCAGACAAGGTGCCCCAAAGCTGGTTCCCTTTTTCATTGTTTCAGCCAGGACTGCAAGTACCTGAGCAAATTGTATTTCAAATATGACTTTGCAGGAAAATAACAGAAAAAAAAGCAGCCATATCATTATCTCAGACTGGCTACTCCAAAAAGAGATGAATGGAACACAATCCACAAATAGGATCTTGTTTTCACAAATCACAACTCACAGGTAGTTCTATAAATTATTTTCCTGATTCCTTTTTCATTAATTACCAATCCTCTATTTAATTTCTTCATAGGAAAAGTTTCCTAAATCTTAGTTACGGAGAATATAGGCCACAATGTGTTATAAAATTATCACTGTAAACTTAATGAGTAAACAAAATGGTCGTACTAATAAAGAAAAATACTCATTGGAGAGAATAAGTTCAAGGTCAGAATCATACATCAGGAACACAACAATGGGATACGAGATCTCAGAACAACTAGGTAGTAAAGTGTAAACAAACCAAACAAAGAAGTAGCCGTGACACTTCAGTGTAAAAGGAATAGAAATCACCTTATCATGGGCGTGACCAAATATTGCGGGCCCCCAAGAACCCACGTAATGAATGTACTCATTGCCATCAATGTCCCACATTCGAGATCCCTTAACTGAATCAATCACAATTGGTTGTCCTCCAACTGATTTAAAGGCACGAACAGGGGAATTAACACCTCCAGGCATCAAATCCTGAGTAAAAAAAAATAAAAAACAATGTTTTCACAAGTCATTTTCCTCCTATCCTCCTGGCAAAAAGAAAAGATCCTTATGAAAGAAACAATTTTCCACCATCATCCTATTCTCCATCTTTCCAAGAACAATAAAATGGAAATAAGAGAGGGTTAGCTGAGCTTTCATAAATACCATGAGGCGGAATTTGGTAAAGTATTGTTGAGGTATAAGTGACTGTAGGAGACTTTATAAAATGAACACATGATGAACTGCATTTTACCAAAGTTGAAGTGGAAAAACACGTAGTGGGTGGGGTGAAGTTGAAGCCAAGGCATCAAACACAAAAAGTAGACAAGGTGAGTTATGGGGTGAAGGAGGAGTGAATACCATGGAGAGAGTGAAAGCTTGTTGGGACTTGCGAAGAGAAAAATCATTGTTTGTGCTGTGAGGAACTGATAGTTGCATTCTGACAGCACAACGATCAGAGTGTGATGCAGAAGGAGCCTTCGACCTCCAAACACCCCATTTGGTGCTCGCCAAGGCTTCCATAATAGAATTAGAAGCATTACCTACCACCCTGGTTCTGTTCTTTCCTTTCTTTTCTTCTGGCAGCAGATTTTCTTAGACTATATAATAATTAATGTTTTTATGATGTATAAGGTATAATTAATTAACATTGCGTTTTATAATTGTATAGTTCATAATAATCATATACTAAACATCACTATCTCCATAGGCTCTGTGTGTGTGGCAAGTCAAATTGTCAAATATAAGGTGGTCAATGAGTATGAGTTTGTGTGGCTAACTCACTTTTTTTTAATATTCACTTTCTTGGATTGATAAAATATGTTACCTAGTTATAGTTTTTTTTTACCACCAATAAAATTAACTCAAGTTAAATTGAATACACATGGCATAAAAAGAAAATACTGTGATTAAATTTTAACAAGCTTGAATTTTTTTTTTAACTTGATATATTTAATACAAATATTTAAATTATGTTTGGACAGATAAATTTATGTTAATAAATTATTAACCTTTTTAAAGATTTATTTATCAAAATTTAGACAAATTAAATTTACAAATGTGTAATATTGTAATTAATTTAATTATTTTTAAAATATAATACATTAAAATGAGATTGAATGATGAAGTATTAATTATTATTAATTTGTATAAACTTTTGCAAATTAATATGTAACAGTGTAATTTTTATTAAGTGAATTTATAAAATGATATTAATGTGTGTTTTCTATTAATAAAGTGTATGAGTACAAAACAAAGTGAATGTGTGTGTTTGGACTAAACATCAGGATAATAGTATCTAAAATATTTAAACAATTATTAGTGTATTTTATTTTAAAACATATTATAAATTACAGTTTAGTTTAATTTAAAGAATTGGAATTTTAGCTTTTAGAAACAAAGTTAAAGAGGAAACAAATTCAGATTTATTTTAAACAATTTAATTTGTAATGCAGTTCATTTTAATTAGTTGGTATAGTTTTTTTGGAAAAAAGATTTTTTTTCCACCCATCTTATTAATAACCTTAAAATATTTTTTTATTAATTAATAAAGAGAAAATAAAGTAAATAAGATAAATAATAATATAAAAATCTAAAAAATAAATGGTTGAATGAATGTTTTTGTCAATAATACTAAAATATCAATATTATTTTTATATATTTTGAAAAAAAAAAAAAATATCTATTTAATTATTCAGTTTTAGATTTTTATATTATTATTTATTTTATATTATTTTATTTTCTCTCCATCAATTAATTAAAAAATAATATTTAAAAGAAAATAATATTTTAAAGTATAAACAAATATTTGTAACAGTGGTTGTGAAAAAATCTTTTGCTCAGTGGAATTTTTTGTTCTTTTCATACTTTTCAATAATTCTTCACTTACATATAAGTATAAACAAATGGCCATGGTTTAACCATTAGAAGCTTTTTTCTGTGCATGAGCGAAGAATAATTAAGAGTCGTGAACGAGAACCCATATACATAGATGCGAAGCGTTCATGATCTTCTCCCCTAATCGTTCCAATACCAAGAGAAGAGTAATGGAATCGGTTCTAATCCGCAAAATGAAAACCTACAAGCGTACAGATTATTATATTCTTGTTCTTCCCACTAATCCGAGGTAAGAAGAAAAGCACAAAAAAAAAAAAATGGCAATTGTAATCAATCCCATTCAAACGAATAGTTCAGTTATATAAATAGGGCTATCAGTAGCACGAAAAGCAAAGCAAAACTATCACTAGCCTCAAAGATCAAGATCGAAAAAGGTCTGAGAGAGAAGAATGGGGTTGGGGTTGTTTAAGGCGTTGTTTTGCTGCACCAAGCGCCAAGAAATTGAAATCGCAGACTCATGGGAGTCCTCTTCTGAGCATAGCCACAAAGAAGATTCTAGAGCGAGCAAAGAAAAGGCGAAGGCAGTTGCAGGTGTTCCTTCGAAACAAACGAGCATGTCACAAATAGGACCAATTCTGGGAAAGCCGTACGTGAACATAGAGCAAATATACGAGATGAAGAAAGAGCTGGGAAGCGGGCAATCGGGTGTGACGTATCTGTGCGTGGAGAGGACGACGCAGCGAGAGTACGCATGCAAGTCGATTGCTCGGTCGAAGCTGCTGAGTGAGGTGGAGATCGAGGATGTGAGAAGAGAGGTTATGATTCTGCAGCACCTGTCGGGGCAACCCAACATCGTGGAATTCAGAGGGGCTTACGAGGACAGGCAGCACGTGCATCTCGTGATGGAGCTCTGCAGTGGCGGCGAACTCTTCGACCGCATCATCGCCAAAGGGAACTACTCCGAGCGCGAGGCGGCGACGGTGATGAGGCAGATTGTGAAGGTGGTTCACGTCTGCCATTTCATGGGCGTCATGCATCGAGACCTCAAGCCGGAGAATTTCTTGTTAGCCACCAAAAACAACAATGCTCCCGTCAAAGCCACTGATTTTGGACTCTCCATTTTCATCGAGGAAGGTTCGCACTTTCTCTTCCTCTCATTTCATTATTCATCTTTTCTCTTTTTTTCTCAATCTTCTCATCTTTGCATGTTCAGTTCTTTTCTCTCGTTTAGAAATAGAGTGTGTATTGGCTCTGTCATCTGACTTCCGTCTGCGTTGATTACTACATAGGGTGTGTAACATGATGATCTTTATTTTTATTGAAAATAGCTTTTTCTTTCACTTGTCAATAACCTATATAAAGTTAAGTAACAGAAACGAAGAGTACTAAATATAAGAGTGATGATTCAGCAAATAGAGTATAAAATTTACTTTTTTTTTTTAAATTTTCATAAATTTTAACTCATAAAGACGATTGTGTGAGGTTTTAAAAAAATATATAAATAAAGAGTGTCCGAGAATATTATCCTAAGTTACACAGTCTTATGTTTAGAAAGTTGAAGTGAATAACACGTTTGACAAGTTGTTTTTTTATTTGATTCTGAAATAAATTACGACATTAGAGAGAGAATCTGCATAAACTCCATGAAAAGACCAAACAAATTCCACTAGACACGCAACAACATAAGATAAAAAACACACAAACATGAAACACAACATAAAACAAAATCTCTTTCTCTCTCTCTCTAACAATGCGTACTACATACTGAAGCAAAAAAGTGAGGAATGGTGCTTTCTTTTTTTGTGAGTGAGAAGTGAGGACCATCTCATCCCATATCCTCTATCCCAGCCCAAAAGCAAAAGCAAAGCATAAATTAAGAGTAACAGCACACAGATTGTTTTCAACACAAGATAGCTTCCTTCTTGTGTTTAGTGTTCTTCTTTTCCACCTCTCAACCCAGAAGCTGAAAATCTCACACATCAATCAGAAACTCTCCACAAACATTGAACACTATTTTTCCACATGGGGCACTGCTTCAGCAAACCCCGCAGCAACGAAATAACAATCAACTATGATTCACCACCACGGCCTCGAAGAACCCAACAACAACAGCAACATCGTCCTCCACCTCGTTACCCCTACCCTACTCCAAACTCAGACCCTTCTCTTTCCAGCGCTCCTTCATCATCATTCGGTGATCAATCACGAATACTGGACAAACCATTCTTCGACATCAAAGCGCTTTACACGCTGGAGAGGGAACTGGGGAGGGGTCAATTCGGGATCACTCGTCTTTGCACCGAGAAGACCACGGGAAGGCAATACGCCTGCAAGTCCATTCCAAAGCGGAAGCTGATAAAAAAGAAGCAAATTGCTGATGTGAAGAGGGAAATTTTGATCCTGCAGCACCTCTCGGGACAACCCAACATCGTCGAGTTCAAGGGTGCTTATGAGGATTGGCAGAATGTGCATTTGGTGATGGAGTTGTGTTTGGGTGGCGAGCTTTTCGATCGCATCACTGCAAAGGGTAGTTACTCCGAGAGTGAAGCTGCTTCCATATTCAGACAAATCGTGAATGTGGTTCATGCATGTCATTTTATGGGGGTCATGCATAGAGACCTCAAGCCAGAAAATTTCTTGCTTGCTAATAGGGATCCTAAGGCACCGTTGAAAGCCACAGATTTTGGATTGTCCGTCTTCATTGAAGAAGGTCATGCGTTCGTTATTTCTCTTCAATCTGCACGCTTTTCCATTCATTGATTCCTTTATTTCCTTCATTTACATTTACAACATCGTTCTCTGCAGGATTCAACCTCTAGTTGCTTCTTCTCCTTTTTCTTTTTCCTTTTCTAAAAAGATTCCAAACGTTGCCGTCTAAATTCAGATTTGTTGGATTCCAATTTTAGATTAGACACTGTACTCAAAAGAATAATAGCAATAATAAAAAAAAAAAAACTATGATGCTTCAGAATGGAATGACTTAATTAATAGTTAGCTTGCCGTAACACAATTGAGTGGAATCAGTTGTTAATAGATGGATGAAGAAGACTAAGTCAATTGTTATTGTGGAGACATGGAGTCAATCAAGTAAACGTCTCCAATGTGATGATGACAAGTCAACCGAGTAAACGGTTTCCTGTTATAAAAAGGAGCTACAGAAAAAAGGAAAAAGAAAAAAAAAAACAGAGACAAGAAGCCAAGTCACCTTTGGGTAATAGACCGTCTTAGTGGCTTCTGACTTCAATCATATGAATCAGATTGAGCCAGTAGAAATGATATTTTTTATTTAAAACTTCTCAACTCTTAAAGTCTTAATTTTTTTGACACCCAGATATTTTATGTAAACATAAAATTGGCTGATACAGAAAGCTAGCTAATTTCGCCACAGGAGCAAAATTTGACAATTATACATTTTAGAATCTGTGAGAATCTATTGATTGTACTGTACTGAATAAAATCCAATGTTACAGGTAAAGTGTACAGGGAGTTAGTTGGAAGTGCATACTATGTGGCTCCAGAGGTGTTAAACAAGAGTTATGGAAAAGAAATAGATGTGTGGAGCGCAGGAATCATTTTATACATCCTTTTAAGTGGAGTGCCTCCATTTTATGCTGGTAAGCAGAATCTATGACTCTGTTTCTAGTCACACTTGAGACAAATTAATAAAAATCATCATTTGGAACTCTATAGTCACTCCTGCACATTTTTCCTAGTTAAATAAGTACGTGATTAAAGTGGAAAATAAATTGTTGCAGCAGAGATCTACCTGTGACCTAAACAGCATTTTGTATAGATTGCACTGTATGGCAAGTTTTAATTTCTGTTTATAGTTCAAAGACTAGTTGAAAGTTCCTCATTCAATTGATTTATAGAAGAATATCAAACGTGATAGGTTAGCATCTTATGCATTATATCAATTTCTTGCTTCCTTCACTTTTTGTGGTTCAGCTCATGATGGATAAATAGTTACATCATTTTCGTATTGCTCATTGGTTTGGTGACATTATCTTGTGGGACAATTTTAGAAAACGAGAGGGGCATATTTGATTCAATTTTGGAAGGCAAGCTCGATCTGGAGAGCGCACCGTGGCCTTCTATTTCAGCTGCTGCAAAAGATTTGATCAAGAAAATGTTGACTTATGATCCTAAGAAACGCATTACAGCTGCTGAAGCCCTTGGTAAGTATGTCACTGCTGCGTTTTCTGTTTAAGCCACTCACATGCTGATGATTTTTCAAGTACGTATGTGATCCAAACTCGATAAAAAATGTGTTGACATTAGTCATTTGAACCAGAACACCCGTGGATGAAGGAGGGTGGTGAAGCATCTGACAAGCCTATAGACAATGCTGTTTTAACTAGGATGAAACAGTTCAGAGCAATGAACAAGATGAAGAAACTTGCTTTAAAGGTACCTCAAAATTTTCAGCAGTGCATAAAATTTGAATAAAATATATATGTTCAAATGCCTTGCAAAACAATAACTACTGTTGAATGTGGTCAGTTGAGTAATTGGAAGTGGAGAATGTAGAATAATAGAAGTGACTATCCTTCTAGTAATAGAGTTTTCTTGTGTTTCTGTATATGGAAGGTTATAGCAGAAAATCTTTCAGGGGAGGAAATCAAGGGCTTGAAACAAATGTTCAACAATATGGACACTGATCGCAGTGGCACAATCACATTCGAGGAACTCAAATCTGGATTGACCAAATTGGGATCCAAGCTTAGTGAATATGAAATAAAGCAGCTAATGGAAGCTGTAAGTTCAGTCTCCTGCTGATTAATATTTACAAAATAAATGCTTCTACCCTTTTGTTGTTAGATCATGCTGTACTAAACAATGATACATAATTTTTCCTTCTTAGGCTGATGTTGACAACAGTGGAACTATTGACTATCAAGAGTTCATCACTGCCACTATAAACCGGCACAAATTGGAGAAGGAAGAGCATTTGTATAAGGCTTTTCAATACTTTGACAAGGATAACAGTGGGTGAGTAAGAAGTTCATTAATTTTATTTTGGATATTGTTTCATTTTAGTACATTATTTGTGTATTTGAGTTGCGTATTTTTCTATGGTTTTTGCTTCACTAAAGTTCTGTTTGGTGAGTTTGGTCAGATATATAACAAGAGAAGAGCTTAGACAAGCTTTGACTGAATATCAAATGGGAGATGAAGCAGCTATAGATGAAGTCCTCAATGATGTGGATACAGATAACGTAAGATGTTACATAGTTTACCTTCAAATCTTGTGTTATTATGATAGAATCGTAGGGACTTATGGTTGAGGTTTCAATTTACAGGATGGGAAAATTAATTACCAGGAGTTTGTGGCTATGATGAGAAAGGGGATCCTGGATATTGATGAGAAAGAGAAACCACGATGAGTGCGTTGTGTGGCATCAAAACAGAGGGGTTTCTGGATTTTTCTTGCTGTGTGCTGCTTGGGATTGAATCACTCTTGAATTTGTCAGTGTGTGTACGTACTTCATGTCAAATTTTATGGCTTTCCCAATATATATACCATAACTTTGTAAAGTTGTTTGAAATAAACTTCAATATGTGGAAAATAAATAAAAATAAAGTTTGAAAAACTTCCTCTATTTCAAAACATCGTTTGATTCAGTTTTTTTTTTTTTTTTAATGTTTAAAAAGTTTGATTGTGTTTAGAATTTGAATGTTTTTTTTTAACAATATCATCGGTTTTATAGTAGAGTATTAAAGCTATTTCTTAGTGGTAATAATTTAGAAAATTTGAGTATAAAAAAACATTTAAACATAATCGAGAAAATTCTAAAACATTAAATAAGAATAATTTAATTTAACATGTATAAATTTAATATTTCTAAAAACATTCAAACGCAAGGTTTTGAAATGGAGAGGGGAATAATTTTACTAATTAAATTCCTGTTGATAATATATTGTGGGAGAAAACGGATTTTTTTTTTTAAGTTTCGACACGTTAATTTGTTCAACTTTTATATTATAATCTTTATATATTAATTTAAAATAAACTATTTTGACACCGGAATTTTTTTACAACCTATTTTAATATTATAATAATAATTTTAAATTATTTTTATTTCTATCTTATCCTTTTATTATTATTATTATTATTATTATTATTATTATTATTATTATTATTATTATTATTATTATTGTATTAATATATTAGAATTATTTTTTTATGCAGTTGTAAATATATCATAATACTTATTAATAGTCTTTATTTCTTAACATTGAATGAGAGATGAAATTTTTATTCAAAATATGTCACTGCGTATAAATTCTACAGACGTACACAAAAATAAAACACTTCTTTTTCCTTTTAACTGACATTTTAATTTTTTGTTTCTTGATAAAAGTTGAACATAACATTTCTTATTTATTTTCAATTATTAACCGCATTTATTATAAAATTAGGAAACAAATATAGAACTATTTAAAATTTAAAAAGAGACTCGACATAATTAAATCTTATTTAACTTAAAGTTTCTATAATTATTTACAAAAATAAAAATTTAAAATAAATCACATTTTTCATAAATTGAAAATAACTTTAAGAAAATAGCGTATAATTTATTTTAACACGTAGAAAAATTCCAATTCACTTAATTTTTTATTTCCTTTTGCTACAAGTAGTTATTGAAAAATCTTATCTTATAGGATTTATTCTTCTATTTTTTTTTCATCTCATGTTTTTATATGAATTTATATATAAATACTTTTCAAATAAGAGTAAATAAAATAAAGTTGTTCATAAAAAAATTAATTATATATGTATATAATTTAAAATTAAGAAGTTATTTTATTGAGTTTGTCAAAATAAAAATTTTAACTTATACATAAACTTATAGATAAATTTATTAAATATTATTCTTATTTTAAAAGAGTTTTATAAGAAATTTACCTAAAATATTCTTGACCTATATTTTAACTCTCATATATATAATTATATTCACGGATTGTTTAGCTAAATTTTTAGAAGATATTTGAAAACGAAAAACTAAAAATAAAATAGTTTTTTACAAGTAAAAAATAAAAACGAAAATCTAAAAATAAAATAGTTTTTTACAAGTAAAAAAATAAAAATTATGAGAGCTTTTAATTTATGAATACTAATTTTAATTTGTATGGTTAAAGAAATCAATAGTAAAATTTTGAATAGGTTAATTAATTCTCACGAAACACAAACCAATAGTATAAAAGAACAAATCAACTCATAAATCAACTCAGAGAATATGATAATACTTTCCACTTAAAAACCTAAGATATAGATGTTTCTTAATTATAAGTTATTCAAATTTATTATTTTTAGTCAACACGAAATTTCAAGTCATAAATTTTCAATGTAACGGTGTTTTGATTGTTATAATTAATTATTCATGTTGGAGTGGATGCTCATATTCTTGCCACTAATGGAAGTAAAGAAGAAAAGCAGAAAGTGGAGACACTACAGAAAATAACTTGTAAGGTTCGAAAGCAAAAACAGTCTAATGCAGTTTGCTTAACCAAAAATCCTGTGGTCTGAGAATCATGGGAGTGGGGTTCTCAAAGGTGTTAACACACAAATCAGACCATGAAATTCCAATTTCTTCCCCAGATACCGGTCCTCAACTCACCTACAAACAACCTCGCAAAAACCTCCCCATTCCACGTCCACTTCCTCCTCCCATGCCAACCGAATGTTCTTCACAAACAAGACCTGTTCTGGGGAGACCTTACGTTAAAATAAAGCACATGTACGAGATGAAGGAAGAGCTCGGAAGAGGTAAGTTTGGTGTGACTTATCTGTGTGTAGAGAAGGCCACAGGAATTGCGTATGCATGCAAATCCATAGCAAAGAAGAGGCCACAAGAAGATGAGAATGTTAGAAGAGAGGTTATGATTCTGCAGCATCTTTCGGGGCAACATAACATAGTGGAATTCAAGGGAGCTTTTGAGGACAGGGAGATGGTACATCTCGTGATGGAGTTGTGCAGTGGAGGTGAACTCTTTGACCGTATTATTGCGAAAGGGAGACACTCGGAGCGTGAAGCAGCCACAGTGATGAGACAGATTGTGAGGATTGTTGACGTGTGCCATTTCATGGGTGTGGTGCATCGAGACCTCAAGCCCGAGAATTTCTTGTTCGCCACCAAGGACGAGCTTGCCTCTTTGAAACTCACGGATTTTGGATCCTCTGTCTTCTTTCACAAAGGTTATTACAGCTTTCATGCATATCCATGTTCTTTACTTATTATCAGCTTTTTTGAAGTGTTCTTTCGCACTTTGCTTTTGTCTAGGAGTTAGTATATTTTCATTGAAAAAGTTATATAATCATAAAATAATTATAACAATAAGAATAATGTTTGAAAATATAAATCATGTTATGTAAATCGCTCATATTTTCATGAATTCTAAACTAGTTAAAGTCATTGCTAAAGCAAAATTTATGCACACCTGCTTCAAACTGCGCTAGAAGTGGTGTCATGTTATACACCAATGACCCGTGAGAGCGAGATTTATAAATTAGAAATAGCAAAAATAAACACTGTGTTAGCAAAGTGTGTCCCAGCTGAAAATGACAATCTAGATTTTGGGTTGAGAATGGTGTAGCTTACCACTTGCCAAAAGCTATAGCGTCACGAATCGATTGTGACTCGTTCCCACTCGCTCTCTGCTACAGGACAATTGATGCTACCTTCAACGATCTCCTCCTTAACAATTGTCCACCAAGAAACGAACTCGTGACCTTGATACCAATTATTAAGATCGAACACTTACTACTTGGCCAAAAATTATAGTTGATAGTCAGAGTGCAACTATTTTTACTTAAGAGTAACAACCCAAATACCATGATTGGATTGTGACTCGGCCTCCGCCACGGGACAATTGATGCTACTTACAACAAATTCCTTATGTGAGTTGGACTCATATCTCATTGGTGTTGTCTCTCCTCGATTAATCTCGAAAGACCCCAACAAGTGGTATTAGAATCGAAGCTGTACATGGAAAGGCTCATATCGAGAGGATGTACCTATGTGGAGGACTCACATTTGAGGGGACTCATATCTCATCGGTGTTGTCTATCTTGGATACCTCGGCTTCGGGAATGGATCAGATAAGTGTATCCTGTTATAATAAACGGCGGTACATAGAAGGGCTCGTATTAAGGGGATGTAACTATGTGGAGGACTAATATTATATATTTCTCATTTCTCTTTATTTTTCTTTCATCTTCACGTTATTTAATTTCACATTCATATTTCTCTTTCTTACTTTTACTCTATGAGGGTGTCATGAAACATTTTTCTATTTATCCGGGAGGCAGAGTCTTGGCGTAATATGACTTACTTTAGGGGTTTGATAACAGACAATATACACAACAAATTCCCCCGTGACCTAAAACCGAACTATTCTTATACTTCTTTTTATTCAGAACTCTTTCTTAGTCTAATTATTTGATTATACTAAATAATTGTACAGGTGAGGTGTATACAGATATTGTTGGAAATGCATATTACGTGGCTCCAGAGGTTTTGAAACGGAGTTATGGAAAGGAAATAGATGTTTGGAATGCAGGAGTCATTTTATACATACTCTTAAGTGGGGTGCCGCCATTTTGGGCTGGTAAGTACAATGCATGCACCACTCAGTTTTGGTTCACAGTACTGCACAAAAGAATTATAAATCATCATTTGGAACAAATATTGCAGCAGCTAGCCTTATATACGATTCAAAACTAAATCATTCTCAGCCATTAAAAAACTAATGGAACAATTATGCAATTATTTCCTTCCTATTTGTTTGTTAACTGTGGTTCATGATTTTATGATTCTGAACTAAATTTCAAATAATAATAATAATGTGTTACAGCATGTTACCAAGTTAGCAGCTCTCTAAAGCATGATTGATACACAAACATATGTTGTTTCGGCTTTTATTTTTCTTGATTTAATGAGTTGTGTGTCGGTTTCAGAATCCGAGAAAGTCGAGTTTGTTGATATTTTGGGTGGTAAGTTAGATATGGACAGCCAGCCATGGCCTTCTATATCGGATGCTGCAAAAGATTTGATCAGAAAAATGCTTACTTATGACCGTAAGGAACGGATTACAGCTGCTGAGGCCCTTGGTAAATATGTTTAATTGTTGCCACATTTTGGTTGTTTTACTAGTGTCATTTGTGATAACACTTATTGATGCTTTCATTATCCCATTTCAAAAAGGAAAAATCTTTTGTAGCCACCTATTCTAATAGACAATACTGAATTTTTAATTATTATCTCTCAGTTATACATGTCAATTAATTAACAAACAGGGTTACCAAATTTAAAACATTCAAGTCACATTATTCGTTTGAACTAGAACATCCATGGTTGAAAGAAGATGGTGAAGCATCAGAAAAGCATCCAGACAGTGCTGTTTTAATGAGGATGAAACGGTTCAAAGCAATGAACCAGATGAAGAAACTAGCTTTGAAGGTCTGTCAAATTTTTTAGTCGTGGATAAAATTTAATCAAATAAATCATCAAATTCCACGCCAAATGGTAACTAATTTTAGTTTTTGTTGAGTGGGAAGGTGAAAATTTTATGATAAAATTTCGTGTTACACTTACTTGGTATGACAAAATGGAAGGCAGTAGCAGAAAATCTTTCAGAGGAAGAAACAAAGGGCTTGAGACAAATGTTCAACAATATGGATACTGATGGCAGTGGCACTATCACATTTGAAGAACTCAAATCTGGATTATCCAGATTGGGTTCCCAACTTGGTGAATCTGAAATAAGGCAGCTAATGAATGCTGTAAGTTCAGTCTCATGGTAATAAGAAAAATAAAATATTTAGTCTCATTCTCTATTTATTAAGAAAGATTAAATACTGTCATGTGATTACTTCTTCACGTGTACTGTCAGATTGATATTGACAAGACTGGAACTATTGACTACTGTGAATTTGTTGCTGCCACTATGGATCGGCATAAACTAGAAAAGGGGGGGAATTTGCTGAAGGCTTTTCAATACTTTGACATGGATGATAACGGGTCGGTCTTTAGTCCATCAATTTGAAGCTTAATCTCAATATATACAATTCGATCATGTAATGAGTTTAGCAACATATAAATCAGGATCACTTATTGAAAAATATACAGGTCTTGAAAGGAATTAGCTGAAGTTGGTCTGGTCCACAAATACAAATATAAGATTTTCGTCTATTTTTTAGTTTGAGTCTTACTAATATTTGCTTAATTGAAATTATGTTTCCATTTAAACAGTTATATAACGAAAGATGAACTTACGGAAGCAATCACTGGACACCAAATGGGAGATGAAGTCTTCGAAGATGTTGACTCAGACAAAGTGTGTTGTTTAGTTATTCTCCGTAGTTCTTCTCTCCATGTGAATTGTAACTTAAGTAGAGTTGGCCTTCATTTTGCAGGATGGGAAAATTAACTACGAGGAGTTTATGAGCATGATGAGAAACGAATGCTGAATAACGATGACAACGATAAGTTCAGTTAGTCGCCATCAATATTCTATTCCGCTGTGTACTTGGGCGTCACTCTTGAAACGCAGAAGCTTCTATGGCCTTTCTTGTAAAAGATGTATAAACAATACAAAACTACAAAGAACCCAAAATTTCTCGTTTCGTCGTGTTCTGAGACTTTTACTGCGGCGTTTGACCTGATATTGCACAACAACATACTTTTGCCTCAATGCTTGAAGAGAAGATCCCCCTAATCCAATCCCTACACTTATCAATAAATGCATCCGTAAATAAATTTAATCAAATAAAAACTACTTCATGCAATTTTCACTGTACTTAATCAAGTAATTGCAAGAGCTAATATTAACTACAACATATAAAGGAAAACTGACAAATAGTTCCCTGTTTCTATTCCTAAAGACGTTCCCAATTCAATGTCCATTACTTTGATATTTCAAAAGTAAAATGCGGAGTTATTTCTGTAACTAATTAATTTTTCTTTTTTAAAGAAATATACATACACCATATTGACAACTAAGCACATCAAAACATACCACTCATTCACATAATTATGAACAGTGTATGATCATGCCAAACAAATAAGAGTGCATTGCTGAGCCCTATCAGAAAGAAAAATGTCAAACAACAAGGATAGATTACGCATTGCTGCTTGAGGATATCCCACATGAAAAGAAAACTTTCCTGCACACCAAAATCCAAATCACCTCAGAAAAAGTGGGCAAGGTTGCTTCCATAGGTAGTGATTGGTGTCTGGCAATGAATCTTAACGATTTATATAACAAAGTTGTTAACGAACAACAGCCGTCTGGCAAGGGTAAAAATAGTAGGGGAGAAGCTTGTTTAGTTTTGTTTACCTAGCAAAACCTAGATTCTCAAGTTTACACCATTTTGAATAACAGCTTTGTACATGCACAATCAATGCCCCAACTAAACAAATGGTCGTCAAGCTCCAAAAGCAGTTCAAAGTCAAGAATCATCATCATTCCAATTAAAACTGCATTGGGAGCAAACATGAATACAGTTCCACCTTTCAAAGACACCTGTAAACAAGGCAAAATTGATAAATATTTACACCAAGAAACAAAATTTCACCCGTGCTTATTAGATGCTAAGAAAGGGTATCCTTTTGATCAACGACAAAATTCAATACCAGAAGAACCATACAGCATTACGATCAAATTAAAAAATCCCTAACATAACATCTTTTAATTCTACAACTCCCTGGTAATTAAGATACAATAAATTGACAAAAAACCGGAGGAGTCCGTCGCGCCAGACGATGCCTCAGGAATCGCGCCACATTAAGAATCGGGTGGTATGAAGTGTTGGTAGAGAAGAAAAAGTAATCACACAACTTATACACACCGAAATGACTCTATGTATTATTGATAGATCAAACTTCCTCATACAAAGAAAAGAATATCTAAATCTTATATAGAGTTAACCGATGTATAAGAAAATAGAAAACTAACTGACATATGCTTGAATTAGCTATATATAATATTTTCCCTTAATTCAAACATTTGCACTAATGATGCTTAGTTCATCTCTCAACATTTTAACTTCTCATTATTAACTTGCTCCCATAGAAAATGAAATCTAATCTCTATAGGCGTGTTTCTTCCATGTGATACAGGATTGTTCATGTGATACAGGATTGTTGGCTATATTTATAGTTGACTTGTTGCCTACAAACAACTGAATAGGCTTTTCAATCTCCACACCCATGGCACTCATGATAGAATCAAGCCACACAACTTGACAAACAACACTTGACCCTACTATATATTCAACCTCACATGTAAATAAAGTTACAACAAATAGTTTCTTACTACACCAATCTTTGGTGCTCCCATGAACTTAAAAACATAGATGTTGTCACCGATCCAATCTGCATCAGATTAACCTAGCAGTTTGTTCTGCACCTAATCTGTTTTGGGAAACAAAATCCCAAAATCTGAAGTTCCCTTTATATACCTCAACACCCTCTTGACACCCAACACATGTTTCTTCCTTGGTTGATGCATAAATCTGTTAAACACTCTTACTGAAAAACAAATGTCAAGCCTGATGTTACATAGGTACTTGAATGACTTAACCATTTGCTTGGATAGTGTGTTGTCAACCTCCTCTTTATCATTCTCTAACACAGTGGTTTTGGTCTTTGTTGGAGTTGTTACAACCCTGCAGTCCTCCATATTAAATTTCTTCAAAACCTCTGTAGCATACTTTTGTTGATGAAATATCATTCCCTTCTTAGTTTCAACAAATTCCATTCTAAGAAAGTACCTTAATCTGCCAAGATCTGTCATCTCAAATTCAGCCATCAACAAATCTTTGAACTTTTTAATTTCTCTAATGTTGTTTCCTATGATAAACAAGTCATCCACGTATATACACATCAAGAGAAAATTGGCTTCATCTTGGAGTTCCACATACACTCCATGTTCCACTAGGCACTTCTTGAATTCATGTCTTTGCATAAAAGCATCTATCAACTTGTTCCAGGCTCTCATTGCTTGCTTCAGGCCATACAAGGCCTTTTTCAATCTATAAACCTTCTCACTCCCCTTAACCACAAATCTAGGGGGTTGAGTGACACAGACTTCCTCTGCAAGAGAGTCATTCAAAAATGTTGATTTCACATCCAGCTGGAATAAAGGCCATCCTCTTCCATATTCCAAAGGAACCACAAGCCTTATCGTCTAAATTCTAGCCACAGGAGTAAACACCTCATTATAGTCCAACCCTTGTTTCTGAAGAAAACCCCATGCCACCAACCTTGCCTTCCTCTTGTCAATACTTCCATTTGAATTCAGCTTCAATTTGAACACCCATTTAACATCAATGGGTGTTTTATTCAGTGGCAGTTCAATCAACACCCAGGTCTAACTTTTCTCAATTGCACGCAATTCCTCGAACATTGCAGCCTTCCACAATTCTTGCTTCATAGCTTCTTCATGATGAATAGGCTCAGCCTCTGCTAACAAAGCAAAATGGACTAAATCACCTTCATTAGTTACTGCATTGTTAGGATATATCTCAAAATTAGCCAATGATCTTAGCATATTTTGCTGCCTGAAAATTCTGTGTTTGTGGTTGTGTATGCTGCACTACAGTATCAGGAAATGGAGTTTCATCACTTGATTTCTCTTCCTCATCTTCAAAACTCATTGTACCATTCTGCCTTGAACTCTCTCCTATATCATACCAATCCCACATTTCAACTTCATTTACCATAACATCTCTGCTTATGCAAATGCAAATTTTTTGTGTTATAAGATTGTATAACCAATTAGCTCCAGTTGAGTGATAGCCCACAAATATCATAGCCTCACTCTTATCTTATAGTTTACTCGTTTTTGCATCTGCTACATGCTTATAATAGGAAAAACTAAAAAATTTCAGATGATTCACCGTTGGTTTTCTCTCATACAAGACCTCCTCTAGAAATTTGTTTTCCAGCTTCTTGGTAGGGCATTTATTCAACACATATACAACTATTGATACTGCTTCTCCTTATAATGAATGTGACAATCTATTATGCTTCAACATACTCCTAGCCATGTCAAGAATGGTCATATTTCTCCTCCCAGCCAAACCATTGTGATGTGGAGTATAGGGTGTTGTTACTTCATGTTGTATTCCATACTCACTGTAGTATTTTTTAAATTCACTAGATATGTATTCTCCTCCTCCATCTATCCTAAGAACTTTTAGCACCTTCCCACTCAGTCTTTCAACCATTAATTTAAATTTCTTGAAGACAGAGAAAACATCACTTTTAGCTCTAATCAAATAAAGCCAAATTATGCGACAATACTCATCTACAATCATTACAAAATATATATTCTGCCCCAAGGATAACTCTTCGAATGGTCCACACACATCAGAGTATACAACATGCAATACATCTTTAGCTCTCATGTACATATGTGAATTAAATGCATTTCTAGGTTGTTTACCTAACAAACACTCCTCATACATCTTGTTTGGAACAAGAATATCATGCAACCCAATTACCATGTTATTAGTAGCCAACTTTTTCAAGCTATGAAAATTTAAATGGCCAAACCTTCTATTCCATAGCCAACTCATCTGATTTGAAACTGTTGCAGCAAAGCACTGTTTCTCAGTAGGATACAATCTTGTTTGAAATGTCCTATTCTTTGACAATGGTGACTTCAACACAAAGCTTCTTCCTTGAGTCATATACCTTTAGCATGTCTTCTTTCATAGTGATTGAAAATCCCTTCTCTACTAGCTGCCCAATACATAATAGGTTGCATTTCATTCCAAGGACATATAACACGTTTTCAATCACGTAACTTCTTTCCCATCCTTCTTGATCACAATATCTCCAATCCCTGCAGCCTCAATCACATTATCATCAGCCAATCTGACTTTACTGGTTTTGTTCGTGTCAAAATTCGACATCCAATCTCTATGCCCAATTGTGTAATTGGAGCATCCTATGTCAAGAAACTAGGTTTCAGCCACAAATTCCTCTTCACTGGTTGCAACCATAAGCACTACAAGCTCTTCTTCTGACTCAACTTGTGCAATGTTTGCTTTAGCTTCATCAGATTCTTTCTTTTGCTTACCTTTTCCATGCCAACAATCAGCAGCATAGTGGCCCTACTTCTCATAATTGTAACATTGTATCTTTCTACGATCTTGAATCTTCTTTCCTCCTCTACCTCTGCCAAAACTGCTTTTGGCTAACCTGGTATGTTCTGTGTGCTCACCAGAACCTTGTTCTTGATTCAAAGAACTGCAATCTTTGTTAAATTGTCCACTTGACTTGCTCTTCTTCCATTTGCCTCGAGAAAAGCCTCCTTTCTTCATAGCTTGAGCCTTCAAAGCTTGTTCTTCATTGACCTTCTCAACATTGCGTGACAGAAGCTTCAACTCATGCACTTCTAGCGAGCCTTAGAACTCCTCTAACAACATTTTTTCTATGTCTTTTGATTCTTTAATGGCTACCACAATATAGTCAAACTTTGGTAAGAGTGTATACAAGATCTTCTCCACATACTCAGATCTGTCATTAATTCTCCACATGCTTTTATTTGATTAACCAGCAGCTACAACCAGTTAAAGTATTCTGCTACACTCTCTGATTCTTGCATAGACAGTAGTTCATACTGCCTCCTCAAGGACTGTAATTTCACCTTCTTTCTCTACACCTCTATGCAACTTCTGCAGTATATCCCATGCTTCCTTTGCTATTTTTGCCTTGGAAACTTTCTCAAAATTCACTATATCCACACACTAATGCAAGAAACTATGAGTCTTGCAATCTTTCTTCTTATTTGCAATTTCATCCTTCTCAGGGGCACCCTCCATCACAATTTCCCACAGTTCTTGATAGTCAAGAATGACCTTCATCCTTATAACTTAGTGATTATAATTTCTTCTATCAAGAATAGGTAGATTTGAGAAAAAATTTCCACTTCCATTTCCAGTCATTGTAGATACACGCTGTAGAATTTTTCCAAAACCTCAACACTGCTCCTCATACCACTTGTTGGTAGAGAAGAAAAAGTAATCCCACAAAACAGGCATACAATTTATACACTGAAATGTCTATATGTATTATTGATATATCAAACTTAATGATACAAAGAATATGTAACTCTTTTATAGAGTGTAAAAGAAAATAGAAACTAACTGTCATATGATTAAATTAGCTATGCTCAACATGAAGAATGTACCAATCCAGACTCAGCGTTTCGCGGCACGTGGTGATGAGTTGCCTTCGATTCTCGAACTCCTCCATTGTGTCTGGGCCCTCGTGCAACAGACGCTACTTAATGAATGAAAATGAGGTGGGACCTGAATTAGAGGCTGACAAGCAAATGAGGAATTTGGGACACGTGGCACAAGATCTTCAAGAGATTATGCGAAGGAAAAGCACACGCACAAAGTTTGTTAGCTCAAAATTGCATGGGTTTGAATCATAGGAAAGAAGGTGATAAAAGAATTCGGTTAGAGGAGAGAAAAGAAAAAAAGAAGAAAAGTTGGACATTTCTCTCTT